CAAGGGGTGCTACACTGATGTGAACCCGGTTTCGATGCTTGCTTCGACAGCCGTCCAATCAGGAGATACTACGGAAGCAAGCTGCGCTGCCTCCACGAGATCTACATGAGCTCCTCTTGCCGGTGAGCTCCGTGGAATTCCAGGCGCACGCAGCGGCACAGACCAGGGCCCGCTCCAGCACGGCTCCGCCCGAGGAGAGGTGTTCGGAAAGGTGTTCGGAAAGGTGTTCGGATTTGGGGGGCTGAGGGTTGGGAAGCTAGGAAATTGGAACACCTTCTGGAACACCTTTTGGAACACCTTTGGGGGGCGAGGATTTCTGTGTTTTCCCTAGGAAACGCTAAGGACAAGGTGTTCCAAAAGGTGTTCCAAAAGGTATTCCAAAAGGTGTTCCGAAAGGTGTGCCGAAGGCGTTCTGCAGCCGCCCTCCTGCGGAAAAGGTGTCGGGATAGGTGTTCCAAAACCTCGCCCCTGTGCCGAGGATGGTGCTGATGGGACCGCAGAAGGCCTGGGAGCGGCAGATAGCGGACTGGCGAGGTGACCTTCTGTTGAGCAAGGGGATTCGCCCAGACGTCCGCCCCTGGAGCTCGCTTCCAGATTTGGAGTGGCATGGCATCAACCCGACCGCGAGGGTGATGACCATTCTGGATGCTGTGGTGTGCGAGAAGCTCTCGCCTAGCCAGGCTTCGGCCTCTCTGGCTGCGAAGAAGGAGTGGCTGAAGCATGAGTTCGTGGACGTTTCCCACAACCCGGCCAGCAGAAACTTTTACAAATTGCCAAGGGTCGTCTCCATGCCTGACTACGGGAACCTAGCTGTACTCCTTCCACCGGCAGGGTGTGCTCCTCCCAATCGAGTTGCTGCTTCTGCTAGGATTGCGCCGTGGGCCCAAAGGATGTGCCCCAAGGCTCTCTGAGGCAGCTGGCAAGTGAAGGTTTTGTCCCACCGTGCGCGGCCACGGTCTCATGGCGCCGACGTGGCCCTAAACCCTAGAATGCGCGGGAGAGGTCTTTAAATGTACATAGGAAGCAGTAACCGCTACTCCAGCTTAGGATCACATCACTACTTCCGTCTACGGTACATGGACTGCACTTCAGAACTGCATAATGTCTTAACTACACAATCTTCATGGAGCTCAGAAACTGAACACTATTCCGAAGACCTCCACAAACTCCTCTCTGCCAAAGGCCTGATCCAGACTGCCTGCCCCACGCTTTCTCAGAACAGCTTCAGAACACCTTTCTGAACACCATAAACATCATTTCGGGATACCTCCCGTCAGGCTATCTTTAACTTGTAAGACTATGAGAATCCTTGGAGGATCGGATCACGGTACGGAAGGTCATAAGTCCCCTAGTTGGGACTACAAGCGATTATCGCTATAGCAGACTTATTGGTCTCATGATCCTTTAAGTAAACTTATTGGTCTCATGACCCTCCAAGTAAAACTAGAACGTAGTTTTGGGATAAGATTGTCAGAGTACTATAGTGCCACCAGAATAATACTAGACTGATACTACAACAAGACAATGCTAGTACGACAATAAGTATAATGCTATCTTTAAGACTCTCATAATAGCGTAGTTTCACAATAACACTATAATGTACACACAAGGTGGATAAACCCTGAACCCTAAGCTGGGATCATTGAGCAGCAGCGCCGTAGCCCAGAAGCGCTTGTCCTGCTTGCACCGAGGCACGCTGCACAGGTCTCTGCTTCCGTATCATCACTCCCAGCGCAGCAGCCGCGGCTGCGGGCACCGCCAGCTGGGGGGCATGCTTCGAGCATGTGGCAGGAGCTTGATATCCTGAAACGGACGCGTTCTTGCACTTGTGGCATCTAGGTACTGCCCTGTCCTATTCATAGCTAAGATAAAGAGGAAAAGAACAACGAATAAGAGAGCGCCAAAGAGAGAGAGAGAGAGAGAGACAGAGAGAGAGAGAGAGACAGAGAGAGAGAGAAAGAGAAAGAGAGAAAGAGAGAAAGAGAAAGAGAAAGAGAAAGAGAAAGAGAAAGAGAACGAGAACGAGAACGAGAACGAGAACGAGAACGAGAAAGAGAAAGAGAAAGAGAAAGAGAAAGAGAACGAGAAAGAGAAAGAGAAAGAGAAAGAGAAAGAGAAATGAAAAAAGGCTGACAGACTACCAGACAGACAGACGGGCACACGACGGAGAGACCGATAGACAGACAGATGGGCGCACGTTTGCACAGCGAGTCCTTGAGCAGGAGCTCGCAGCAGCTCGGGTTGATGTGACGGAAGAACGGCAAAATTCAGCGCCATGGCTCTCTGCTTGTAACAGGGACCCGAACAATGAGAATAGGCTTTGGGGCGGCTTTGCACCACGCTTTTACAGGGACTTGGAATACTAGGACTCTCTATTCTGTCGCTGAGTCCTTTTCAATCTGGAGCCTTCCACAGGCTTTGGGATGCGTCCCTGACCACAAGGGTCACTCAAAGTATCGGACTGGAGAAGTTGTCCACAGAAGCTGAGATTTCCTGCCCGGCGTGTGGAAACCCGAAGTTGGAGTACTATACGCTGGGGCGCATTGTACTGTACGTAGTTATAAGCAGGAACTCCCAAAATAGCATAGGTAGTTAGTTAGGCCCCTATATTAGAGGGCTTTTGGGCATCCCTTCATGGTGCTGCGCTCGCTCTAGCATCGAAGGCATTCGTCTCCATGGAGGTTTGTGTGACGATGCTGCATGAACCAAGAGCACGGTGGATTAACTCCACAACGTGAGAATAGATTTCGGGAGGAGCACTGGTTCAAGGAATCGGGGTATGAAGCACCCAAGCTTCATTGAGCCTGTGTTGAAGCTCACACACTCTCTCCCCAAGCGCCCCTTTAGCCTCCACCACGACTTTGGAAAGTCAGAGACACACTCCCCTGCGAAATATTTTTACCAGCTACTATAAAGAGTTACTATAATGAAGCTTTCCGTCGGTCGACCCGAACCGGAAGCCAAAATGCCAACTCTCGAAACCTGCCTTCAACATCGAAACGAAGCCAGGCGCGTTTTAAGCCGCAGAAACGGAATGATCTCACAACGAGGGGCTTCTGGACTCTTCTGCCCCGAAGCTAGGATCCTAATGGTTTTATTATATAGGAACCCGAACCCTCAACCCTAAACCCTACATCCTAAACCCTAATGCCTAAGCCCTAAACCCTAGATCCTAAACCCTAAAGCCTAAGCCCAAAACCGTAGATCTTACACCCTAAAGCCTGAGAAACCCCTGAGCCCTCCAAACCCGACTATCTGCCATTGCGGGCCCCCTCACCGAAGCGACAAAAGGGGCTTAGGGAAAGCATGAGGGACTCTACGATGAACTTATGGCCTTAGGGGTTCCAGGGTTTAGGGTTTAGGAGTTAGAGCTGACGGGGGCTTGGGACGTAGAAACCGGGTTTAGAGTTTAGGGTTTTGGGGTTTAGGGTTTAAGGTATAGGGTCCACAAACCCTGGCACGCCTCTCGGTGGAAGTAGTCGTCGATGGATGAGGAAGTTACCAGCCTCGAGTCTGTCAGGGAGGGTCCCCAACAGGGTTCCTTTAGGAATCTTGGGGTTCCTTTAAAGGGGTCTGGGGGTTCCCTTAAGGGACCTATAAGGGTTACCAAATGGATGCTTGTCAAAATCAGGGTCCCTTTTTGGGTCCCTAATACAATACGGCACCTAATATTTAGGTACCCAAAAAGGGAAAATAGCTTTGACAACTACCCAAATACGTTTCTCTGAGGGTTGTCATAAGGGCTACTAGGACGTTTTTGTTTAAGTGCAATAGCCTCTTTGTCCGCGGGCGGCTGTCGAAGCGCGCTCATGATTGAGCTTTGCACTCAGACTAGAAGGTTTGGAGTTTAGGGATTGAGGTTTAGGGTTTGGGACTTTGGTGCCCCAGAAGGATTACCAAACGGGCTACAATAAGGGGTTACGGGTTACTTTAAGGTGAAGGGGCTTAGGACTTAGGACTCTAGTGCCAGAGTCATGCCCTAAAGGGATCCTTGCACTAATCCTCCTAAACCCGTATAGAGCCCTTTTAAAGGAACCGTTATAGTACCCTTAAAGAGCCCTTTTTAAAGGAGCCCTTGTAGAATTTTTCTAATAACCCTTTACAGGAACCCGAAGGTCCCCCTTGGGGCGCCCTTCTGGACACGAAATAGCCTGATGGAGTGCGGCTCCCTCCACCCTAAACCTCTAATGCTAAGGCTTACGGAAATGGCTGTGAACTGCGGAGACAGGCCGAATGAATCGGCACACATGATACGAAGTTTTTCAGGCTTCGAACTGCCTATGAAGCTTCAAGAAAAGTCCCCTACCCAGCACCTAAAGATTCGAGAGGCTTGTCTTGGTTGTATGTAGACTTGAGATCATTGTTTGGGCTGAGGGCTTGGGAGGTTTGAGGGTTCCTTCACGGGATCCAGAAGTCTATAAGGGGTCCTAGAAGAGATCCATAAAGGGTTTTTTTATGAAGGGTGTTGTTAGGTTTAGGGTGCGGAGTTTGGGCGCTCGGTTTTAGGGGTGTGGGCTTAGTAGCGAGAAGTAAACCGAAGGTAGCCTGGCTAGCACTGCAGCACAGCGCTTTTGCGGAAGAACCATGCGGACAGTTCTCTGAATCAGCACCTTTTGCTCTATCCCCGACAAACTACACCATCGTGAAAAATCACCGGCGCCACCACCACTGGCCAGTTCACCCTCATCCACACTCTCCTCCTAGTCATTCTATTCTGCTACTTCTCACAGAGTCTCAGAGGTCATGTCGCACAGCGATGACTCTGATAGCAAACCACATGAACTACTCTCAATGCTACGAATAAACCCGAAAGGACCTTGTTCAGAAAGACCATACTTGGGACCACAGTAGGATCCATGACTACACCCCGAAACCCTCCACCCTGAGCTCCTAGACTCCAGAAACCAAAAACCCTGAAAGCAGCTGTGACAAAATACCTTATAGCAGCCCTCAAAAGAACCCCCCCTTTGCGGAATCCTGTGTCTGTCCTTCATAGGGCCTCAGGTGTTGCCAAGGGGCGGGTCCAGCTCACCGGCGCCGGTATTCCTGCAAAAGGCGTGCAGAAGTTTGGAAACAGACAATACTTGAGAGTAACCAAGGTACCTGAAAACAGGGCAATCGTACCAATCTTTTATCCGTCTTTTGCAGGTACATGGTTACTGTAGGACAAACTATTACTATTACTATTACTATTACTATTACTCTTACTCTTACTCTTACTCTTACTCTTACTCTTACTCTTACTCTTACTCCTACTCTTACTCTTACTCTTACTCTTATTCTTACTCTTACTCTTACTCCTACTCCTACTCTTACTCTTACTCTTACTCTTACTCTTACTCTTACTCTTACTCTTACTCTTACTCTTACTCTTACTCTTACTCTTACTATTACTATTACTATTACTATTACTATTACTATTACTATTACTATTACTATTACTATTACTATTACTAGTACTATTACTATTACTATTACTATTACTATTACTATTACTATTACTATTACTATTACTACTACTACTATACTACTACTACTACTACTACTACTACTACTACTACTACTACTACTACTACTACTACTACTACTACTACTACTACTACTACTACTACTACTACTACTACTACTACTACTACTACTACTACTACTACTACTACTACTACTACTACTACTACTACTACTACTACTACTACTACTACTACTACTACTACTACTACTACTACTACTACTACTACTGCTCTGTAGGTACAGTACGGGGGTGTGCTTTCAGGCTTTCGCGCTCGGGGTCTGGGAAAATCTTGGAGTATGCTGTCCCGTTGGGCAGCCCTTTATTTATGCGGTCCCTTTTTGGTGCCCATAGGAAGCATGGGCTGATAATAATCATGTCATTACGAAGATCGTTGCTGTTGATGCTGTTGAAGTTATTACTTTCGTTCAGTGATGGTAGCTGCACTGCATCATTAGTATGACTAGTTAATTACATATTGTGACGACGGTTGATAGAACGCAAGCAGAGGCAAGCTCTTAAAACCCATAACCCGGTAGAGAAAACCTAACACAGACCTAAGCCTAAGCAAGAAGAATTATGAAGGGTTTAGGGTTAAGGGATTATTAAGCATACTCAGTATAAGGCCCCAGGTGCGGGATCTATCATCTTCGCAGCCCCCTTTCGAGCCTAAACATGCGCAGGGTCACGCGGAAACCCTCAACTCCTGAATCCTACCCCCTATAACCTGGAACCCCAAAAACCTAACCCCCTAAACCCCCTAGTACCCTTATAAATCCCTTGTAGTAGTCCCTGTAAGAACCCTTCAAGGAGCCCCTACATCCCCGCAAACTTTCAAACCCCAAGCAAGAAACCTTGGCATCGCCCCAACCCCAACGCCGAATCTTCCCAGTTGCCGGGCAGGGAGGTGAAAGCTTCAGGGTCTCAAGTTTACAAGGGCCCTTGCTTCCGGGTGAAGGGTTAGCGGTTAGGGTTCCTGCAAGAGAAACTATTCGGGTTTAGGGTTCAAGGTGCAAGGGCTCTTGGTTCCGGGCGAAGGGTTAGGGTTCCTCTCTAATCGGGTTTAGGGTTGAAGGTTCAAGGGCTCTCGATTCCGGGTTTGTGGTGGGGGGAAGACTGGAAGACTTTTAGGGCTGGCGTGGCCTGGGAATAGCTTACGGCCAAGCCTAAACGTTTAACCCTAAACCCTAAACCCCTAAGCCCCTTAAGCCTGAAGCCCCTAAACCCCAAGCCCTAGGTCCCTAAGCCCCAAGCCCCTAAACCCAAAGCCACTAAACCCTAAACCCGTAAAACCCTTAAACCCCTAAACCCCTAAGCCCTGAAACCCCTGAACCCCCTAAATCCCCTAAAACCCCTAAACCCCTAAACCCCTCAACCCCTAAACCCGTAAACCCCTAAACCCCTAAGCCCTAAAACCCGTAAAACCCTTAAACCCCTAAACCCCTAAGCCCTGAAACCCCTGAACCCCCTAAATCCCCTAAAACCCCTAAACCCCTAAACCCCTAAATCCCCTAAAACCCCCTAAACCCCCTAAATCCCCTAAAACCCCCTAAATCCCCTAAAACCCCTAAACCCCCTAAATCCCCTAAAACCCCTAAAACCCCCTAAATCCAGTAAAACCCCTAATTCCCCAAAGCCCTTGAAGCCCTAAGCCCCTCAACCCTAAGCCCTTTGTTCTGAACTTAGAACCCTAGCAAAAAAATTATAATTTTAGCTGTTTCTTAGGGATTATAATAACCAAAAATTAAAAACTATTTCTAAGTAACCCTAAGGCCCTAAGGTAAGCCCCACGAGCCGGGTGCCGGACCAGATCTGTAGCTCACCGTTGTAGGTCCCACCGGCCAGCAGACTCGGCTTCGTCGGGTGGAAGGCCACACCTCGCATTTTAGGGTTTAGGGCTTTTAAGGTTTTAGAGTGTAGGGTTTTTAGGGTTTTTAGGGTTTTAGGGTTTAGGGTTTTAGGGTTTTAGGGCTTTGGGGTTTAGGCTCTCAGCAAACCTGAAGACCAAGACCTCGAACTCCTGAGGGCCGCGCACATGACGAAGCCTTGCACCTGGATGACCGTGTCAGGCCTCGGCTCTCTTGTTCTCATGGGCTTTTTTGCCTTAAGCACCTTTTTCCAACTGCAAGAGTTCGAAGCCCTTTTGACCCTTTAGTTATCCAAGCCCTCTCAGTTCTGATGGGGTTTAGGGTTCAGGGTTGAACCTTAGCCCTGAACCGTTACGTCTCACAGCCTTAAACGAACAAACTGGTTACATAGCCAAATCATGTCCTACCCTTAAACACGAAAATCCCTCAACCCTAAACACGAAAATCGATAAATCTTGAAACCAACAAACCCCTGAAGCCAACAGCCTACAATAAGAACCCTAAACCCTAAACTAAGTTGATGGGAGGTCGAACGGGGGGGGTTAAGATCCTTGGGGTCGGGATTCCTTAATATAAACCCTATTCTGGGAACACTAACCCCTACTAAACCCCCATAGGCTAAAACGCCTTTCTGGCCGCCTATGATGAGTGCCAGGCTCTCCAGCCACAAGCTGCGGCCTCGGAGTGAAAGGAAAGGATGTAGAGCTACAGGGATTTGGGGGTCTTGGGGCGTACTTTAAGGGCTCCTGCAGGGGTTTAAGGGTCTGGGGCTGTCTTGGGGCTCACTTGAGGAGCTGCTATACAGGTTCCTGAACGATTCGGCAAGTTTAGGGCGTGCTTGAAGCATGTGGGGTCTGGGGCTTTCTTTGACGGCTCCTGCACGGGTCGAGGGTCTAGGGTTTTGGGGCTATGGTTTTGGGATGTTGGGCTTACTGTGAGGGCTGCTACATTGGTTTAGGGGTCTTGGGCTTACTTCAAGTCCTGCAAGGGTTTAGGGGTTCTGGGGCTAGGTAGGTTTTGGGGTCCTGGACTTACTTTAAGGGCTCCTGCAGGGGTTTAAGATTGTGGGGCTATGGTTTTGGCACGCCCAATATCTGAACAAGCCCACGGAGAGATTGCAGGTAACACAAACATTCATTCGCCCAGCTCTCTGGATAGCCAAACCATGAAAATAATGTGTCACGTGTTGTTGGGCGACAAAGAAGCTGTCACTCTGTATCTCCATCCTGCTCCAGCACTCCACTGAACCTAATGAGGTAGCTGGAGGTTGTGGAATAGACGGTTGGCAGGCCTCTCGTTCATGATGAGGCGTTGCATGTGAATCTTCTTAGACACAAGGAACACGCCAACTTGCGACCGAGGCCGCGATGCGAATCCAAGGAGACTGCAAAAAGGTCACCAATAAAGCAATGGTTTAGGGTTTGGGCTTTTATGGTTTAGGGTTTGGGCTTTCAGGGTTTAGGGTTTGGGCTTTTAGGGTTTAGGGTTTGGGCTTTCAGGGTTTAGGGTTTGGGCTTTTAGCGTTTAGGGTTTGGGCTTTCAGGGTTTAGGGCTTGGGCTTTTAGGGTTTAGGGTTTAGGGTCACTGTAGGATCTCTCAAGCACGGGATCAACATAGCATTGGCCTTCAAGGCTGTCTTCCAAGACGGCGGCAGCTTCTTTAACGCTGAGATGCATCTAACATAGGGGCCGTCATAATTAGAATAGGGTTTTGGTGGTTTCTGATTATGAGCAGAGTACAATACAGTCCCAAACCCTATTCTAGCTATTAAGGCCCCTATTACTCATGAGAATTGTCTAATCGAGCCCTCTCACCCTGGGCCAACATGTCACAAAGCTGAACAAGACCCGCTAGACCAGAGGGCAAAAATACTCTGCTAGGATATGCAGTAACCTAAGAATAAAAAGGCCTCCCTTTTTGGTATTGGGTACCTTTATAAGGAACCTAGGACTACAAAAAGGGAATAAGGGTACTACTGGGCATCCTAGCATGTGTACAGCATGGCTTTGGGGCCGTGGGCTGTTGAAGGGCTCCAAAGGGAGGTTAGGGTTCTGGGGCCATGGCTTTGGGTTTCGGGTTCCTAGGTTTTGGAGGTCTGGGGCTTGGTTTAAGGACTCCTGGTCTTGGGCTTACTTTAAGGGCTTCTACAAGGGTTTGGGTTCTTGGGCTATGGTTTTGGGGTCTTGGGCTAACTTATACAAGAAGGGTTCCTCCAAGGTTTCAGGAACTCTGATACTCTGAGGCTTATTGCGCTTGTTCCTACGAAGGGTTTTAAACGGTTCTAGCGGGCTTCCATAGGGTTTCGGGTATGAGTTTGAAGGCTTATACGGGTTCTACAGGGGTGGCCATCAGAGAGACTGGGAGTTTGGAATTCTGTGGTTTAGAGGTCGTGGGTTTGGGGTGCTGGGTTCCGGTGGTGAAGAAGATCATTGATTTATGAACCCCCCGTAGCGGGGGCCCAAAGTGACCAGCCGATCGGAATAATTACATGTGTTAAAGCACGGGTCTATCTACATTACCTCCGACCCTGTGTAAAAGGAAACTGCAAACGTGTTTGGCCTTCAACCTCCGAAAAGCCCTAAACTCCTTGCCGAAACGCATCCTCGAAACCAAAAAAAAACCTCGCCTAACCGCAACCCACTAAACCCCCTTTTAAGCCCGATAGACCCTAAACTTAAACGGTGTAGGGTTTAGTGTTATGTTATTGGGACTATTTGCGGCCATTATTCCGGAACTTGGAAGAGCCCTTGTAGAACCCTCACAGGAGCCCCTTAACACCCTCGGATTGAAAACAGGGGCCCCACCGGAAGATGTTCCACACGCACACCGGCGCAGTGACCTCGCACCAACCCAGCCTCAGTTTCTTGCGCGCTCCTTTTAAAGGTTGCTTGTGGGGCTAAGTTTTTTGTTGAAGAATGTGGTGTTGGGTTTATGGCTTATAGTTGAAATGTTTCAATCTAAGAATTTCTGGTTAGGTTTCGCAGCCTTAGGGATTCTATAATCTAAAGCTTTAGGGTTGGTCCCATAGGTGGCGCTTCGGCTTCATACGTAAGAGGACTCCTGGGGATGAGGGAAACTTTTTTTGGAAGGGTTTCACTGGGGGTCTCTAAGTGGGCTGCGCGGGCTTTATCAGGGCGCACGCTGGGTTCTGCAAGGGGTTCTGCAGGTTTAGGATTCTGTAAGCTTACAAGGCCTACCCCCGAAGCCTCCTCGGGAATCCCTGAGACCTTGCTCAGCTTTGCTATGCCCGTTAGGCTTAGAACATCTATACGCAAGGCTAGTTGCCAAACTCTCTCGCTCCAAGACCCCGTGTCCGACCTGCAAGGCCGCAGACAAATCATGATTTCTGGCTTCGGTCTTATAGCTGCCATGCTTGATGCTTGCCATCCCAGAAGATCCGGATATCAGTTCAACCTTAGACCATAAACTTAGAATCAGAAGCAAGAACCCTAAAAACTGAGCCTGAACACTGCTGAAGGTTTATTGGGCTCCGAGCGTATCGAGCTTGCCGAATGCGCATGCAAGAGTGGCTCCCGTTGTGTTCCAGGCAACGCTAGTAACCTTCGCGGGCTGAACTCCTGAACCCAACATTCCCAAGCCAAAGTCTAAGCCCTGCAGTGTGAATTCTACTGACTTGTTTAAGCTTCAAATAATTGGCAATTTGAGGTTTTAACGGCTTTAAAGTCCGGAGCCCTAAGCCAGGGACACCAGTTCGATTCTGACTTCCTAAGGCGGAGGCTGAGAGGATCGGCTTCAAATCCTATGGCAACCCGGTTAAGCCCTAAGCACCAACTGGTTACTATGGGGGCAAGGGTACTCTAAGGTACCGTGGGAAGTCGGGTTTGGGATTCTAGTTTCTATTTTCAAGGGTTGGAGTTTAGGGTTGTGTGAGGGGCCCCCAAACCCTAAACCCTATCCTGGCTGAGGGGTGGAGACGCGCGGTTCCGGGTTTAAGGATCCCAAGCAAAGACATCACCCCCTCAGCCCAAAATCCGAAACATCCCGAAACGCGAGACATGCCTATCAAACCATAAACATCCCCGACCCCGAACCTCAAGCAAGCCTAAGCCCGAAACCCTAAATCAACAAAGCCAAGCACGCATCACTGCTAGTTGGACACCTTGTTCTCTGCAACGTCCATACCCTTTGCCCCCCTCGTTCACAGTGAACCTTAAGCCACGCAAAAAAAGCCGCGTACCGTAGAGCCCCAGCAGAAGCCTTACGGAACCCTGCGAACCCTAAACCCTTATGTAGCCCGTATAGTGTACCCGTTTAGGAACCTTGAAGCCCTTGAACCCTAAACCATATGGTACCCAAAGGCAACCCTTTTGGGAACCCTTCTAATAACCTTATCGACCTCTATAATATGTAGTACAGACCGTATAGTGTGTATGAAAATTATAAATATATATATATGTGTGTATAACTTAATGTAAATATATAGAAGAACCGTTAGCGTATCCCTGAAGCTTCCCCCAACTTGAAGGGCCCACTGCTGGCCTGGAGATCAACCAGGCCCTCCTTCCAGACCTTCGGGGAGCTCTGGGGCTTCTTTTAGGGGGGCTCCTTTTGGGGCTCCTTGGGCTTCTTTTGGGGGCTCGGGTTCCTTTTAAAGGCTCCTTACAGCTTCCTTTTGGGTGGTTGTCAAAATTAGGGTCCCTTGTCGGGTCCTTATTATAATACGGCACCTAATATCTAGGTTATCCGAAAAAGGGGCCATAACTTTGACAACTACCCAGCAGTTGCTTCCGGGAGCTTTGGGCCTGGGTCTGGGGGTTCCTATAAAGGATTTTCTAGAATTACAAGGGCTTAGGGTTTAGGGTTTAAGGCTTAGGGTTTTAGGGGTTTAAGGTTTACGGGTTTAGGGGTTTAGGGGTTTAGGCTTTTCTATCTTATAGCCTTATAGCTGTGCTTTTCTTTGTTTAGTTGGGCTTACGGACAGAAAGCAGTCAAGTTGCTCGGGCTTGAAGCTCCCGACTCGGGTTGAGGATTTCAAATCAACCCTGCCTGTAGCCGAAAAAACTTACCTTACCCAGAGACCCCAATATCCCTTAATTAAGGAATATACCTTAGATCATATTAGGGATCCTACTATAATTTAAGGTATATTCCTTAATTAAGGGATATTGGAGTCTCTGGGTAGTAGGGTTTAGCATACCCGTTTTGGGTTTCGGGCTTTCGGAAAATCTAGGGTTTCGGAGCTGGGGCTTAGGGTAGCGTTGTAGGGTTCCGTATTATGGTTTATATTTTATAGTTCCTTGTTATGGTTTATAGGCTATGTATAGTTCCTTATTATGGTTTATAGATTATAGTTCCTTATTATGGTTTATAGATTATAGTTCCTTAGAAAGGTCGGTCTTTTCAGCTACAGGTGCAAGCGCTCAAGCCCTAAAACCCAGAGTGTCCTCACAGTACCGTTATAAACTTATAGAACCCTCATCGTCTCCTACAGAGCCCTAAGCCCTAAACCTTACACCCTAAAACCCAAGCCCTTAAACCTGAAACCCTAAAGCCTAAAACCCCCAACCCTTGTAGACCCTAAACCCTAAACCCTGAAGCACCGTTACAGTTTAACATGATGAACCAAATTATATTATAGTAGCCCGTGTAGAACTTTTATAGAACCCCAAACTCATATACTACACTTATAGCTAGGCACCCTTGGGCATGATAAGGCCCCCACGCGCGAAGCCCGAACGAGCTGAACCCTAGCCCCGTAAACCCAAGAGCCCCAAACCTGAAGCCCCGAAAACCTCGAACCGTAAACCTTACGCTTCAAACCCTAAACCCTAAAAGGCCCTAAACCTCAACCTTAAGCGCACAAAAAGCCGCCGGCAGGATCCGACGAAACTTACGGGTGTAGGGCTCCGGGCTTTGGGTTTCGGGCTTAGGGTGTAGAGTTCAGGGTTTAGGGTTTAAGGTTTAGGGTTTTGGAGATTCGTCGAAAATCCTGGTCCCAGTGTAGGCCACAGTCCTAAATTCTAGACCCCTAAACTCGGCACCGCTATTGCAGGCTTGCCTGGTGAGTCATCTCACATGTCTCGGCCACATCATCCCAGACGGGCCTCAAACATTGCAACACAACAATTCTGCAATGTACCTTTGAAGTTTAGGATTAGGGCTTACGGTTCGGGGTTTGTGGTTCAACTTAACTCCAGATATCTGCATTAACTTCTCTGTTGCTTTCGTAGGATTGGTGTTGGCACTGGCGAATAAGAGTGTGAGTAGCCCTTGAGTAGAAGTCGTGGCAGAAAGCAATCGGCAGGGGGCTTTCCGAACTGTTTCTTCGTAACTAGGCTGTTGTGCTTGCTCCGTTGCCGGCTCCGCGGCACATAGTTAAGGTTTACGTTCACGGTTTGAGGTTCGAGGTTCAGGGTTTACGAGGTTGTTTTTCCTGCTTGCTAGGGCCTACAGGGCTTGAAACGAAGCCGACTTTGACGGCGACAACAACCGAGACGAACGCGAAGACCAAGACGAAGACGAAAACGACAAAGACAAACAAGCGACGGCTGCAAAGGATACGAACACAAGAACACGAAGAAGGCAGCAACGACCACCTCGATGGTTTAGTGTTGTTGTCACTTTTGGTTCTGTACACTTCGTTAGATCCTCAATAACAACACCGAATCTAATAAGCCTTTAAGCTGACTTTCTACCTAGAACACGAAAAATCCAAGGAACCCCAAACCCTCGCCCCTAAACTCTGAACAAAACCCTTAACTCCAAACCCTGAACGCTCTAAACCCTTTGACCCTCAACCCTAAACCCTGAAGCCATGGAACCTTCATCGAGCTCTCATACGGCCCCTATAGAACCATTGTAACACCCTTGCAGAACCCCCTGCAGAACCCTGAAGCCCTAGTAACATTGAGATCTTGGGTCCGTGCCATCTAAACCTAAACCCTAGCGAAACCCTACACCCCGAAGCCAAAAACCCTCAATCCTGAACCCTAAACCCTCAACCCTAAACCCTCAACCTTGAACCCTAGGCCCTAAACCCTAAACCCCGAAGCCAAAAACCCTGAACCCTCAACCCTAAACCCTCAACCTTGAATCCTGAACCCTAAACCCTGAACCCCGAAGCCCTAAACCCTGAACCCACAACCCTGAACCCTAAAACCCCTAAACCCTAAACCCCGAAGCCAAAAACCCCGAAGCCAAAAACCAAGTATCCTTATAGTAGCACTTATAGATCCCTTAAAGGAACCCTTAAACCCTCAACCCCTTATAGTACCCCCAAAACCCTGAACTCTCCAGGCGGAGATCTTGGATCCTGGCACGTAGGACTCGAAGACGGGCCTGAGCTCAACACCCGGGATTTAGGGTTCCTATAAGGGTTCCTACAAGGATTACTATAAGGGATCCATCAGGGTAGGGCTCAGGGTTTGGGTTCAGGATTGCGGGTTTAGGGCTTAGAAAGTTTAGGGTTTAGGGCTTCGGGCTTAGGGCTCGGGCTTTCGTGCCTAGGGTCGGGGCTTGGTAGAGTTTAGGGCTTAGTAGGCTTTGAGCTGTATTGAGGGATTAATGGGTACAGTGAAGGCATACGAGTACAGGTTTGGGGTGTAGTATATTACAGTATAGCTGTATATAAGGGACTAAGGGGATACGATTACAGTAAAGTAACTACTCAGACAGAGACCTGAATAATCACATGCTTCAAAAGATCGTCCAATGATTTTCGGGCGTTTCGGACTCCTTTCTGCCCAGGTGGACTTGGGGTCTTGGCGGTGTTCCTGATTATAATTACAGTATGATATACCCCCAAACCCTATTCTAATTCTTAGGGCCCCTACATTACAGTACAACTTACTTTGAGCCTCAGAAGGCCTTCCCCCCTTCAAAACCCAAGTTCCCAGACCCTTACAGCAGAAGCCCCAAAGTTGGAAACCCAATAGCCTCAATCCTAAAGAGTACTTCATAGGGAATCCCGGCACTAGGTGTCCGGATTCCAACTTTTGGGGGTTAAACCGTACACCCTAAGTCCCAAAGCCCCAGAGCCGTAAAACCGTAGATCCCCAAACCCTTCGAATATGCCCTGGATCCTCAGAGACTCCAATATCCCTTAATTAAGGAATAGACCTGAAAATCATATGAGGGATCCTACTATGATTTAAGGTAGTTTTAAGGAATAGACCTGAAAATCATCTTAGGGATCCCTCTAGATTTTACAGTATATTCCGAAATTAAGGGATATTGGAGTCTCTGGGTCCTTACCGCTCGAACCATCCAACCCAAAACCCCCAAACGGCAAACCCCTAACGTCCCGAACCCTGAAGCCATAGAACTGTCATCGAGCTCTCACCTGGCCCCTACATACATATATATGTATATAGAACCCTGAAAGGGGCCCTGGCGAAAAACACTAAGAGTACCTCTATAGACCCTCGATAGAACCCTTAAACCTGGGAGCCTGAGCCCAGAAACCGAAAGCTTCCCGACCCAAAAGCTTTCTGCCACGTCGCAGGGTCTGCCAAGCCAGTAGCAACTCCTGAAAGGCTCTTTGCACAATATTCTTTCGATGTAAACACTGTTCTTGTGAAGCATTCTCATATGGGTGGTTATCAAAATTAGGGTCCCCTTTAAAGGAAGATTACTGTAAATTGGCATGGCTACGATCACCATTGCAATCACTGCTCGGTTTCCGAGTCCAAGTCCGACTGCAAATGCAAGTACACATGCAATGACTATGACTTCGTCTATGGCTTCGTCTATGACCGCGTTCAGGGGTCTATCGGGACTCTGTAGGGTTTAGGGCTTAGGGCTTGGGGTCGAGGGTTTGGGATCTAGCATCTTAGAGGTGGTTCATTGGTCGTAAACTTTAAACACGCGGCCATCTGGGATAAAACCACCATGAGTCACGCTTAACTCTTGAGGGCATGTGAAAAACTTAAGGGTGAAAGGGTCCTAGGCCACAAACCCCCTGCAAAAAAAGTAACCCAAACCCTCAACTCTAAAGCGTAAACTCAAACAGTGACCATGAAAGCAAGGTGAATTCTGTTGGTAAGGGTACCCAATACACCCCCCAACGCCACACTGAACAATGAGCGAGCCTGAACCCCAAATTGCAAGTGTAAGAAATAGCACGATTACCAGACTCGTAAGGCCAACCAACAGAACTCACCAAAATCAACCCCAAAACACCTCCAAAACCTACCTACCTACATACACACACACACATATGTACATACCTATGTATGTATAGTGTCTAGAGTCTAGACATACGCGCAAGTCAAAAAACAAATAAAGAAATGATGGGCTCCCAACCTGCTCCATGATCGGGGCCACGTCGCGGAGGAACTGTGCGAGCACGTGCTCGTCGGGCTCTAAAACCTGGCTGGCTCCGCTCACGGAAATTAGGAATATTATTGGCAATATTGCTACAACTACTATTATAGTTAGCATCAACAATATTAGTACTTTGACTCTTGGTACTATTGCTAGTATTATTATTAGCATCATTAATATTAGTATTATGATTATTCTTGCCCGAACTACTCTCGTAACAATCTCCATCTTGATGACAACCGTTCGGATCATCAGCATCAACAGTATCATTATCATCGTCATCGTCGTCGCATCGTCATCATCGTCGGCGTGATTTACACCATCGTAGTCTTTATCGTCGCCATCATGTTCATAATTATTGAACGCCTCAAAACCCTGCATAGTTACACCCCAAACATACAGAAATCCGAAAAAAACACGCCCAAAGGCTCTGATTTTGGAGGTGTCTTATCGGTATAGTATAATGGGCCCCAAAACCCTCTTCTAATCATTAAGGCCCTTATGCCATATACAGAACCCTACTTTTGATCCCTTGTAGACCCCCTTTAAAGGATCCCTTTTAAAGAGGAACCCTGTTCCCCCATATATAAAAACCTTACTCTTATGAAGGCCCCTGGGGACCTCTGCGCCCTGAGCGTCTCCTGGGCTCTCCGTCTGAATGTCCATCTCCTTGACCTCGAGACGGCTCGCCGCGAGACTTGTTAGGCTTTAGGGACTTTAGGGTTTAGGGTTTGGGGTTTAGGATTTAAGGGTAGGGTTTAGGGTTTAGGGTTTGGGGTTTAGGATTTAAGGGTAGGGCTTAGGGTTTAGGGTTTAGGGTTTAGGGGGTTGGGGTTTAGGGTTCAGGGTGGTTCTAAGGTGTTCAGCGCGTCGTGGACAGTTCTGAAAATGTCTTTGGTGTCTCAGGGCTTCGAACCTATTTGGGGTTCAGCGCCACAGGTTTCCCAGAGGTGTTTCGGTTGTTACTTGAACCTCCAAGTAGACCCTAAACCCTGTACCCTTATACAGTCCCTATAGATCCCTTTAAAGGGACCCTTAAGGCAACCCTTATAACTACCCATGAACCTCCAAGTAAGGGCTTATGGTTCAA